ATGACTTTCAGATGAAGTTCCCATACTTCCATCTCTTCTACTTCATTATATATCCTTCCTCACAACAATTCCCAGTATTATTAGATGTCCGTTTTTACAGATAGACATATGGGATTGGTGATCTGCTCAGCAGCAATACTTCCTCTATAAAGGGATTTTGAAAATTCAAGGGATTTCAAATACTCTGTTACAAAGCGTGTGTCAGTAAAGACTGCTGACTAACAGAGACCATTGATTAATAGTTCCCATGCATCAAGCTATTCAACTACACCATCAAAGTCTAGAGAAGAGAATTTTGCAATGCACAGACATGTGAAATGACATCTGGACAATAAACATCAGTATAATTTTACAGAACAGACCAGGCTTCAGGTAAAAAAAAAAAAGGGCAAAATATAAATAAATTTAATGAAAACACCTGAAACTTCTCTTACAACCACTTCCAGAGCAAGGGATACTATTAAATTATGCAGAAGAACACGCTGTTTATCACATGTTGTGTAGCAGCTGGAAGGGCAAGATAATGCAAGGAAAAAAAAAAGTATCTTCTATTTTTTACGGTTATGCTTAGAATAATTTGCAAAGCCCTGCTTTCTACAACTGCCAAAGTCCTCTCTGAAAGAAACCCCTCAGTGTATTTCTTGACTTACACAGATTCCTAGTAAAATAATTATCCTTAGTTAAAGGCTGTTGGACCTTTTCAGTCAAATGCTATTTTCCTTCCATTCAAGTTTTAGATTGAATAGAATTTGCCATTGCTTTTATTTTGGATGCGGGCAAACCCATTCTACAAAAAAACCCCAAGCTTCCTAGGAAAAAAATACAGTCTTTGGTTACTTTTCAAAGTTTACCAAGCAGGCCACACCCAACATGCCCATTCTCTCTAGTCCTACTCAGCAGAGATCCTACATTCAAAACATGAGTTTTGACACAATGAACCCCTGCCTACTCCAACCGCAGGAGGGGGAACTGAAGGAGCTACATTTACAGAAATACAAACTGATCTCAATATCAAGAAATGGAGTCTGAACACAGTTCCACAATATCTTTGACACCTGATTTCCCCCTCCATAAATTTAGCTATTTTCCTCTCCAGGATACGAATGTTACATACCTTACTACTCAGAAAAGCAAGACTCTAATCAAAACTACTGAAAAATGTTAAATGTGAGGGAAGAAAGACACGGATCTGTAATGCAACAGCACTTAAACAACTCTACTGCATTTGAATCTCATTGTACTAAGTGCCATAGAAAATACATACATTGTATTGTAATACTACTAAGCTTAAAAAAAGCTTACGACTGACATGAAACAATGAAGACGAGGGGTCAAGTACTGCACGGATGCAAAGCAGAGGAGAAGGATGATGAGCAAGCATCTGAAATAATCTTTTTCAAAAAGAATGGTTAGTAACTTTGCTTTTATGGGCAGATTTCACCAGAGCTTTTTCCTTCCTTTAATCACATGTTTTTCTCATGAATTAAGCGATGGCTACACTGTTCAGTAGTCTGAGCTGTAAAAGGCACAACTCTTGCCTGACGCAGCTATGCTGTCACAGACCTCTGCTATTTGTGTAGTTATACCAATAAAAGCAGAACTGGGGTCGTACAGTTGATTTTACTCGCAGAAGTGATTTCACTACAGCAGTGAGAAGCACCGCGTTCCTGGTACGACCTTGTCACACCAGGGGCCCGGGAAGGCCCTTGCTGTTCAGGAACACTTTGGGGAAGACCTGCCATTAAAGCCAACTACCTGGATTTCACAAGTGGTTGGGTCCTGCCAGTCTCCCATCCCATGCGAGATTAAGAGGCTGAATCGCAGGCATTTATTTCACATTTACTGCCCTTGGTTATATTCAACAAGCTACTGCAAAATCTAACCCGTATTTGATACCTAGAATATAGCAATAAAGGTAATATAAGAGCTTTCCTACGCACTAAAGTATACATACTAAGATGTCTCATCACACAGTACCCTGCAGGCTTTCACGAGAACACGCGCTATAAAACACTACTTTCATTAAACCTTATTCCCAGATGACTGTGAAGCATGCAGCTCAGGACCACGGCAAACCAGTTTAAGTTGTTTTAAATGCAAAACCACGTGTGTTTCTTCAATTTTTTAATATACAGAAAAGCTTTCAAAATCAGCCCATTAAAAATATTTACAGTCCTCATTAGTGTATAAACATAGGAAAATAATTAAATAACTGAAACTAAAATAGGTTGCATATACTTGCTCCCAGAAGATTTTTTAATGCTAAATTACCTAATTTATGAAAATCAATGGCTAATCACTCTGAAATACAACCAGCTGAAGCACCTAGCCAACTTCTGACAGTCACTCCTATTGCTGCAGGCACAATATTTCTTGAACTAGCTGGAAAATGAGAAGAAAAAAAAAAAAAGGAAATGGAAATGGCAGGACAGTGCATTTTCCTCTGTCAGCAGATTTAATTAAATGTTAAAAAAATAATGTCAACTAGTCCCAAAATTTTGAAGGACGTTATAACCAAAAACTCCAGGACACTAAGTTTGAGCCTCCTGCTAGATAATAATCAAATAAATTTGTACAACAAACTTATATAAAATGTGTTGCTTATTTGTCATAATGTGGCACAAAGTCTTTATTTAACAAAATGTAAGATCTTGCTCGTGCATTTAATGAATCCTAATTTTCATCCAAATAGAGCTTGATGCAGAAGTGAAGTAAAAATTAATCATCAGACTGTAAAAAAAGAAATGCCTAACTGACCACTTTCTAACACAGAAATGCCTAGAAACTAAAAGGGCAAGGAGATGAATACATATATATACACTACAGACATCACTTTAGCTTTGGGGTTCAGAAAATCTAGGGCAACTCAACGTTTAGCAACATGCGGCAATTAAAACTTGTCAGCAAGAACTGGCATTTCTTACATGAAAATAAAAACATTCAAAAGGAAAACAGGGTTAATTTTAATACTTCTATACATCACCATGATAACGTTGTTGTTTATTTACTAACATCTGAAATAAGATTCCAGGAACACTGGACAACACTGAGTACTCAGATATATTTTAACGTATCTAAGTATATTTGGTCTGCATCAACTTCAACTCTCAGCTTCTCGTCTTGCACAAGTTTCAAAACTAAAACCCCCCAAAATTTACTACTTCAGTCCTGCCCATCTCATCTACTAAGTAACATGAACTTGACTGTAGTCCATGACAGAATTCTGCCTGTCACAGGCAACTGGTCAAGGCAGGTGACAATGAGAAGCTAGTCATAAATAGCAGTACTCTGAGGTGGGGGAGAAAAGGGTTATTATCCAACAGAAATAATATCTACCCGAGAGTTTACGGAAAGTTCATTCACTCAATCTTTGATACGCTTCCTCCACTCACTTTGAAAAACGCATATGCATTATTGAAAGCTGGGCTCACTCGAGATACGTACTCAATTCTTTACTTGTAACAAAAAAAGCATTCACTGGAACATGTTACAGCCTTCCGCTGCTGACAGAAAGAGCTCCAATTCCAATTTCCTTTCCCTAATACAAATGTTGAGCATCCGTTCAAAGGCATTGGTTTTTCATGTTTGTCCGCAAAGAGACGATCAAATGCCCGAACGCACCGTAGACAGACAGAAGGGCCACCTAAACACCACCACACCGGAGGGAGAGGCTCAGCCTGAAGTTGCCTGGGCCCAAACTTGCCCAGGACTTTATCAGTCGCGACCAAACCCCTCTGCGCGCCCGCTGCAAAGCCAGCACCGCGCCGTGCCCCCCCAGCCCCTCCGCAAGGG